ACAAAAGTCACAGGACCATCCAGATGACAACAATATTGCAAACTGCATTCTGGAAAATACTTTGTGAAATGTCTTTATGGCCAGGGGGCTCACTTTATTAGACAGGAGTTTCTTGCTGGCTTCTCCTACAGTTCTGATGGCATTATCCACATCTCTCTGCCCCGGCAGACAGTTTACAGAGCGGTTCAGAGCCTGAGACACAGCCTTAGCTACCTGCAAACACACACACACACACTCCAGTCATTAGCAGAACATTTAAGAGGCTTCTCCAGTTATGCTAATCATAGACACACAACAGGCAATTTTCTTCTCAAAATAATGGGCACTTCAACCCTACAGCAGATCAAATCTCCCAGCAGCAATTAAAAGGGAGGTTTCGTTACTGAATTTAAACCCATTCTATTGAGCTATTCTCATAAGTATTCAAGCTGAGGTCGGGTTTAACCTGGGCCAGTCTCTGCTGGCTGTCAGGGTCTCCCGGTTTGGCAATGGCTCTCTTGGTCTCCTCGATCAGGCTGGCGGATTTGTCCATGACATCCGCGGTGCAGTCCAGCATGGCGTTACGGGCATGAGGGTCCTCGGTGTTAGCGGCCACTCCACGAGCAGCCGAAGCCAGCGAACGCAGAGCCTGAGCCACGTCACGAGCAGCCATACCTGAAAAACACACATAAACCATCCACAAACAGACATTAGGAGAGATTCAGGGTGCCCACAATGAACATATGATTAACCCTTATGGGTTTCAAACCTTCAACATATGGGTTGAGTTATGAGAAGGAGCTTTAACCACTATGCCACACCTGTGTCTGTGTTTGCTACATCAGCGACAGATGAATAATATATTCCACAGACAGGGGGCGCTGCATAACATTGGACAAATAGCTAACGGTGTGTGAGGTTGATGGGGTTACAGTACCTGTGTAATTCTCATTGCCTTGGGTGGCTTCACTGAGGAGCTGAGCAATAGCAGAGCTCACAGCTTTAGTGCTGGAGCCCAGATCCTGAGAACACTTTTCCAGCTACACACACGTCACAAAAGGGTCATATTGTTATATTTCAGAAAGCATGCTCAAACTATAGATATGAATGATACAAACTGAAGGTACACTGTGATTTTCATTCACAAAGCACATTTTTAGACTTTTTAAAAATAAAACAGCATTCAGTAACATTTCATTGGGTGTAAACAAAATGAGGACGGCAGATTTCAGTTTTTCATCGGTGGTTCTCAACCCTTTTGACTGCAAGGCATTTTGTCTACCACAATATAATTTCTACAATATTCTATAATACTGAACCTATGTCAATTCCAATAATCTTTTAAATTAAAATGCAGTATTTCTTAAGAGCTGAATGTTCTTCTGGATTCCCACTCTTGTTAACCATTCATTTGCATGACTTTTCCAGTTGTTCGTGATTTACTGGATTAAGGATAATGATTTCTTTCACAAATTCTATCTGATAGAACATTTTAAAGTTTTACATAACCACAAAAATGTATGTTCATTACGAAAATGAGTTTTAAGATTATTATTTATTATTTTACAGGACTATTTCAGATCTAGAAATAGGTAGTGATGTGATTATTATTATGATTATTCTAGAAGATTATTTTTATTAATGCTTTGTCTTATTTTAAATAATCTTAAGGCCCCCTGGTTGAAATCTACTTGCCAAAAAGATCAAAAGACCAACAGATCTATGCTGCTGCTCTAAACTTGTTACTGATGCCTTGAAAAGGAAAAATACAAAATAGTTCTGTCATCAGCAACATAGCATATCCAAGCAACAGAATGTTTCTAAGCTAAAGCTTGAAAAGACAAATAAATTCCAGTGTAGTGGCTTCTGTCTAGCAGTTGTTTTTGTGACATGAAGCGCCTGACTTGTGGGTATAGGTGTGAAAACTGACACAAATGAAATCATGCTTGCACAAACATACACTAGCAGTCAAACGTTTGAACACAATATTATATTATATTGTTCCACTTTTAGAACAATGATAAAGTCAATGCAAAAACAATAGAGCAACACAAAAGGAAAGTTTTGAAATTACATAGTGATGAGTTCCCAGCTCTGCTCACTCTGGGTATTTTCTCAACTAACTTTCTCAGGTGTCCTGGGATGCTTTTTGAACAGAATGAGTCTGCATGCATGCTGGACACTTATTGGCTGCAGGGATGTTCAGTGTTGGACTGGTAGTGTACAAACAAATGCACGTAGAGCACATACACACACTCACCGTTTCTCCAGGCAGGGGTTTGAGTTTGCCTTCAGCAGCTGAAGCTTTGGTCTCCTGCATGTCCCTCTCCAGCCCCCGTACCATTGTGAGAGCGTTATCAATCTCCAGAGGCCCACACGCCTCCTGAGCCTGAGTCAGACAGAGAGACAACCGAATGAAATTCACTGCAAAAGAGCTACATGTGTTCACCAGGCCTCCGTCATATTCACTTACTTTGTATACATGTGTATATCACAGTTCTAGCAGAACTGTTACAGAAACGGACACTACTGACTTTCTAAATAAAAATTCCTCAATCATCCTGTGGATGATTCAACTGCAGATATAACCAGCTTCGTTATCTTTCATCGAAATGCAATAACTTGCTCCACCTCTGAAATGACTTTCCTAGTCGGTGGATGACAGCAAGCTCTTATACTTTACAACATCTCCCCTCCAACCACCTGTCAAATATAGACCATTCAAAAA